TGGTTTAGAACCTGAGAAAAAAATTGTACGTTTATACAATTTTTATCGTGCAATTTTTCTATGGGATCTCAGTAACTAAGCAAACATTGAAACTTGTCTCTATCCTACCTATATGTGGACATACTGCACGCTGCATGTGCTGCACTGTACTGCATCACTTTTCTCTTTTTCTCTCTACCTCAGAATAGCATTGCGAGTCTATTTGAAACGCAATGGAAACGCAAGATCTACTCATGTAACTGTGGGCAAATTCAACTACCAGACCTGCATCGCCTCAACAAAAAATGTATATATGTGTGTGCGTATGTGTGCGTGTTAGCCTGTAAAACTAACGATAAGCAAAAAAATTTAGTCAACTTTCAGGCTGGATGGACACACCAACCAAGTGGCCGAGCCTATGCAAACTAGTTGGCATGCCTGTACGCGTTATAATACGTTCAGCATACTCTGGCCTCCTCATGACAGATTGGCAAAGCTACAAATGTAGCCAAATTACAAAGAGTTTCACTTCTTCCCTCTTCGCTAAACCTAATCGCTCACGCACACCCACAATCAAGAAATCCATGTGTAAGCCAAAACTACTCAAACAGACAAACACATCCACACTCACTCATATCATAACCCAGGTGAATAATGAGTAGGCATGACCAGACAAATGAGAACGGAATAAAAATAAATGAAATTGTACGCTTGTTTATGCGAGTACAGAATGTGGTAAAAACGAGGCATGCATGCACAGACGTGTGGGGAGTTTTCGTAAACCATTGAGAGACATGACATGGCCGGACGGAAATTTGCTGTCCCACTTCATTAGCATCACACCGGCCTGATGTTGATGGTCCCCATCTTTGGGCCGGTCTCGATACTCACCGAATTATTCGAATTCTATCTAGTCTTCTATACCTTCTCCAGGCTTTCCAATGGTCATATTAACACCTTAACAGCAGTTCAAGTCTCCACTTGCCCACGAGGTGGCAACGGTCCCTCAGGGGTCGTGTGCAGACTGTACCGCCCAGTTGTCTGGCCTAGTCAAAGTGTCCGGCCGCACTCGATCTGTCTGTCCAAGTGTCTCCAGGCTCCTGGTAGAGCTGATCCGCCCTTCTGATAGGCCCTATTGAGACGTCCTGTGAGCAGACGAGACCTCAAGACTGACGAAGAAGCCGTTTCGCAAAAACGCGTATACTTTTTAGAAGGGGGTTGACCTCGTCGTCGCAACTTGGTGTTGTTGTCAGGGGGACTTGGTAGAACGCA